TAAGTCTGACTCTTGAGTTTGGCTCAGGTCATGATCTCATGGTTCACGAGTTCCAGCCCTGCATCGGGCTCTGCACTGACATCGAAGAGCCTGCTCAGGATTCTGTCTCCCTCTCTCTCTGCCCCTCCACTACTTGCTCTCTATCTCTCTCAAAATAAAATTGAAAAAAAAAATTTTTAACTTTAAAACATTGGGTTCATTACAATTGATGTTAATGTCTTCTAATTGGCTTGGTGCTCTCTCTGCCACATTCCTGTTGTGTCACATGAACATGTCTCTTAGTCATACGTATGGATTGGATGGATTTACTAAGCCATGTGCAGAAGCCATCACATCAAACTGGAGACTCCTTCTGAGTTTCTCTTTGCTTGTAGTTTCCACTGGAAAGTGAAGGTTCTCTGACTTGTGTACTGGAGATACTGACTTCTGGGACAGGTGATTCTGAGTTAGTGAGGTTCCAAATTGTAAGTTTTCATTGCATTTCTTTCTCATGTCACAGACACATTTTTTCTTCACTTTTTTGAATTTTCAGAAAAAGAAAACAAGGATCACATAGTTAACAGATTGGGGTGTCTTATAGCAGAAACACTGGAAAAAATTTTTGAAAGAAATACAAGACTCAGGAATAGTAGCTATTTTCTCTATGTCATTTTGTCTGTGTATCCATACTGTAAATAAACGACAGAAACATAATCATCCAGAAATAAATCGATAAGTTTTATGTCATTGAGAATGATTTTTTTTTAGAATGTTTCTTCATTTAAGTCACCAAGATGATATTCGCCTCTGTCATTTTCAATGTGTATATGGCACTTTGGAAAAGTGTAGATATATGCAGAGGTGCCTGGCTGGCTGGGTCAAGAGGGCATGAAACTCTTGATATCAGCGTTGTAAGCTCAAGCCCTACATGGGTGTACCATTTCACATGTAAACGGTAGGTCAGTTTCAAGTGGATATGTTCTTGTTTTCATCACAGTTCTTAGTTTTTAAACCTACTGTAAACATAATTTTACTGTTGTCTCTGTACATTGATTACTGAATTTTGTTAGATAAATTCTACGTGAGACAACCTAGGCTGAAATGCAGTTTCTTTCTTTTTAAAAAAAAAATAATTTAATGTTTTATTTATTTCAGAGAGAGAGAGGCAGCATGAGCACTGGAGGGCCAGAGAGAGAGGGAGATACAGAATCTGAAGCAGGCCCCAGGGTCTGAGCTAGCTGTCAGCAGAGAGCCCGATGTGGGGCTCGAACCCACGAACCATGAGATCAAGACGTGAGCTGCAGTCGGACGCTTAACCGACTGAGCCATCCAGGTGACCCCAAAATGCAACTTGATGACCGGGTTCCTGGGTACTTCATTGTTCACGTGTCTGACTCTTGATTTTTGCACAGGTCCTGATCCCAGGGATACAGGATCGAGAATCTTAAGGAGACCCCATCCTCAGTGCCGAGCTCCATGTGGAATTCCTTCTTTTCCTATGCTCCTCTCCCCACTTGTGCTTTCTCTGTCACTAATTAATTAATTAATTCAAAGGTTAACTTAAAAAAAAAACACCTAGCTTCTTACATTTGCTGGACGTGTGACAAAATATTCTACAAAGGGGAAGAATAATATGTTTTGTCCACTAGACTATTTGTGTATGTGTGTTCATCTATGTAAACTTTTAGAATCAGCGTTACTAATGCTCAGAAAGTATTCCGGTTGCCTGTCTTGCTTTAAGCTGTAGACTATGGAATTGTTTATAAACCCTATTCATTTCTTGTTCTTTGATAACTCTTTCCATGGAATTCTACCTCTTTGTTATTTGCTGATGCCTTGTTAGAAGCGCAGACTCAGTTCTCATTCTAACTACTGAATCAGACAGAACCTGATCTCTGAATCGTTGTTGTGAAATTCTAATTCATATTATAATTTGATAAGTGTCTGATTTCAGATCAAGTCATGATCTCACAGTTTTCGAGTTCAAGCCCCGTGTTGGACTCTATGCTGACACCTTGCAGCCTAGAGCCTGCTTTGGATCCTGTGTCTCCTCTTCCCTCTGCCTGCCCCTCCCCTGCTCATGCTCTGTCTCTAGCTCTCAAAAATAAGCAAATATTTTGAAAAATAAGAAATATATACTTTGATAACTACATTTCTAACCCGCTAAACCTTTCTATATAAGAAATAGACGCAACGTATACTGTACATTATAAATGCAGTCCTCAAACATGTGTGTGCCTCTGTCGACACCTTCCGTTCACAGTTTATCTTGCAGAAATAGAGAGTGCTCTCAGTGGTTCTGTGAATCCTATACCATCTTGGTACCTCAAAGGAAGAGAATATATAAAGTATATAACTGTTAAAAACGGCCTTACTGGAGAAAGCAGGAATCTCACCGAAGCCAGAACCATTGATTTCAGCTCCTTCCTTTCATCTGAGGTACCATTATGAACACTGCCTGTGTCTACTTGGTCACTGTGACATTTATTGCAGGGGCTGGTGACATTCAGGGATGTGGCCATAGAGTCCCCTCAGGAGGAGTGCGGGATGCCTAAACCTCCCTCAGCAGCAACTGTACAGGGGTGTGTTGTTATAGAAATATGAATACCTCCTCTTCTTGGGTGAAGATGACTTCCTGTATCTATGCTGACATGAGTTGCCTCCATGGTGAGTTACAGGTAGAGAATACACTAGGTGGAATTGTCACTCATAGGAATCTTTATTTACAACGAATAAGGCAATTGGGAGAGTAACTTCCAACATTGAAGATCGAAGAGCAGGGGTAAGTACTTTATTTATTTAGGTTTTGAAATGATATGTTAAAGATGAGTGTCATCCTGTGTAGAGGTGGGTATAAGGCAGGTGCAAGCACATGTATACTTAGGAAAGCAGCTTAAATGTGTATACTATGTTATATTCATGAAGGCTGTGCTTCCTCCGTGGGTGGTGATTTTAACATTAAATTGAGGTACTCCTAAGTGTGTGACCCTTCACAGTCCATCTCCTACGTGAACCTATCGTGGACCTAAAGTGGTCTCTGCTGGCCAGAGCTCTTGTTATTTGCATCCAAGAGATAAACTTAATCCCAAAAGCAAAGTAATGCAGAAAAAGAAACAAAGCTGGAGGTATCACAATTCTAGACTCTAAATTGTATTACAAAGCTATACTCATCAAGACAGTATGGTATTCTCAGAAAAACAGATACACAGATTAGTGGAACAGAATCCAGAATCCAGAAATGGATCCACAAATCTATGGCCAACTAATCTTTGACAAAGCAGGAAAATATCCAATGGAAAATGACAGTCTTTTCAGCAAATGGTGCTGAGAAAACTAAACAGCAAGATGCAGAAGAATGAAACTGGACCATGTTCTTACACCCATAGGAACAATAAACTTAAAATGGATAAAAGACCTAATTGTGAGACAGAACTCCATCAAAATCCTAGAGAAGAACACAGGCATCAACCACTTTGACCTTGGCAACCGCAACTTCTTACTAAACATGTCTGTGGAGGTAAGGGAAATAAAACCAAAATGACTATTGGGACCTCATCAAGATAAAAAGCTTCTGCACAGTAAAGGAAACAACCAACAAAGATAATAGGCCACCGCTGGAATGGAAGATGATATTTGTACATGATATATGGAATAAAGGGTTCATATCTATAATCTATAAAGAAATTATCAAGTTCAAACCCTAAGAAATAAAGAATCCAGTGAGAAAATGTGAAGAAGACACCAAGAGACACTTTTCCAAAGAAGGCTTCCAGATTGCTATCAGACCCAGGAAACGATGCTCAACACTGTTCATCATTGTGGAAAGACAAACCAATACCACAATGAGATATCACCTCATACCTGGTGGCTAAAACTAACAACTCCAGAAACAACAGGTGTTGGCAAGGACACGGATAAAGGGGAACCCTTTTGCAGAGCTGGTGGAATGAAAACTGGGCAGCCCCTCTGGAAAACAGCATGGAGGATCCTCAAAAGATTAAAAATAATATTACTGTATGACCGAGCATTTGCACTACTAGGTATTTACCCAAAGGATACAAAAATGCTGATTTGAAGGGGCACATGCACCCTAATGCTTATAGCAGCTCTATCAAGAATAGTTGAATGTTGGAAAAGGCCCAAATGTCCATTAATTGATGAACAGATAAAGAAGAGGTGGTATAGATATACATAGGAATATTACTTGGCGATCAAAAAGAACGAAATCCCGCCCATTGCAACAGTGTGTGTGGTCCTAGAGTGTGTTATTCTAAGTGTAATAAGTCAGTCAGTGAACGACAAGTATTGATTTCACACACATGTGGAACGTAAGAAACAAAGCAGATGAACATAGGTGAAGGGAAAGAAAAATAAGATAAAAAGAGAGAGGGAGACAAACCAAAAGACTCTTGAGTACACAGAACAAATGGAGGGTTGCTGAAGGGGAGGTGGGTCGGGGGATAAGCTAATAGGGCATTGGAAATTAAAGACGACACTTGTTGACATGAGCACTGTCATATATAAGTGAAGAATCACTGAGTTTTAGTCCTGAGACCGATACCACATAGTATAAAAAGTAGCTTGAATTATTTTATTTATTTTTGTAAGTTTATTCATTTGTTTTGATAGTGAGTGAGCAGGGGAGAGGAAGAGAGAGAGACAGAGAGACAGAGAGAGAGAGACAGAGAATGAATCCCAAGCAGGCTCCATGCTGTCAACGTGGAGCCCAATTGGGTCCCCAAAGTCACGGACCCTGAGATCATGACTTGAGCCGAAATCAGGAATCAGAGGCTTAACCAACTGAGCTATTGAGGCACCCCACCTAACTTGAATTTAAATAAATAAAATGAAAAAAAAAAGGAAATAAGGCCAAAAGTATCTCCCAAAAGTTATGTGCACCCCCAGTGTTTATTGCAGTATTATTTACTATAACTACCAAATGGAAGCAATCCAGTGTCCATCAATTGATGAATGGAAAAAGAACGTGTAGCATATATTCACAATGGAATATTACACAGCAGTAAACATGTAGCAGTTGTTTTCCATCCTCATCATTGCCTAAGTATTCATCTTGTAGAACCTTGTGTGTGAAGCTAATGGAAGTAGAGAACCTATCATTTCATAAAGATACATATAGTGATATTTAGTATATGTTAACAGTATATTGGTTTTCATACTGTTTTCCAACTTTACATTCAAATATTTACATTACAGCACTAAAGTATAGTCAGTTTTGAAATGGAGAAACTACATTTCAGTGTAACATCATAAGTAGTTTTGTTGTTTTAATGTTGTTTTAAATTAATTTTTGACAAGTGTTTTTTAAAAATGTAACAGTATTTCCTTCTTTTTTAAAATATTATTTATTGTTTTATTTATTTCTGAGAGAGAGAGAGACAGCATGAGCAGGAGAGGGTCAGAGAGGGAGGGAGACACAGAATCTGAAACAGGCTCCATGCTCTGAGCTGGCTGTCAGCAGAAGGCCCAACATGGGGCTCGATCCCGTGAACCATGAGATCATAACCTGAGCCGAAGTCAGACGCCTGACCGACTGACCCACCCAGGCGCCCCTGTTACACTATTTCTAATACTGCATTATGACTATGACTATAATACTGTATGCCATCGACAATTTTATAATGAGCCACTCATTAGAGTACAGGCTCGTCTACCTTGAAGCAGCTGTATTGATTGTACAAGGCTGCCATCAAGCAATTCCATTACAACATCTTCCTTATCAATGCATGAGTCACGCTACCTATCAATAAATATGAATTTCTGGGGTGACTGGGTTGCTCAGTCAGTTAAGGATCAGAGTCTGGGGCCTGCTGCAGAGTTTGTGTCTGCCTCTGTCTCTGCCCCTCCCCTGCTCATGCTTGCTCGCTAGTTCTCTCTTAGAAATAAACAAACATCAAAGAAAAAATTTTTATTTTTTTATTATTTTTTTAATGTTTTTTTTTATTTATTTCTAGGAGAGAGAGAGAGACAGCGTGAGCAGGGGAGGGTCAGAGAGAGAGGGAGACACAGACTCTGAAACAGGCTCCAGGCTCTGAGCTGGCAGTCAGCACACAGCCCGACGCTCCGCTCGAACCCACGAACCGCGAGATCATGACCCAAGCGAAAGTCGGACGCCCAACCGACTAAGCCACCCAGGCGCCCCAGAAAAATTTTTTAAAGAGTACATTCTATTTGAAAAACTATTTGGCAGTGACCTAGGAAACTAAACTTTCTTACTTAAGGGCAGCAGTTTGTCACCTCAAATTATGTCTCTTTGCATAAGGATTATTTTGATCTGACAAAGGAAAAGCTCTGAAACCCAGATCAGTCCCTTTGTAAGAGACATTTGCATGTACAAGGGAAAGTTCCATTTGGAAGGGTGGCTCCCTCTGTGCAGCAGAAAGAGGGAGAATGTGTAAATCTCCAGAAACTCTGATCAGTAGAGACAACAAAGATTTTCATCTGAGCAAAGACCCGAGCCTTGGTTCCTGTGCTTTGCCTGGTCACCTCCCCAAATGCTTCCCAACAGTATCACCTGCAGAGTTTCAAGAAGGTTCCTTGCTGCTCCCCTCCCCCTCAGCTTCCCTGAGATGGATGGGTGGAAACAAGAGTGTTGTTTTAGTGAGGTGCTCCCTGGGATTCTGGTGCAGGGCCATTTACCTCAACACCGGGGATTCCTGGTCTCCTGCATCAAAGAATGAGGAGTGAACACAAAATGAGCAACAGGCAAAGGTTGATTCGAGTACAGGCGAGGGAGAGTCCTAGGAAAGCTCTCAGTAAAGGGAGGGCCATTGCAGGGTGAAAACCTGAGACAACAGGCAAGGTCCTTTGTTTTATTGTTGTGGAAATCTGGTCTGGATCCCTGGGGGAAGAACTAGCTCTAGGAGATCTCGGAAGGGAGGAGGTTTATGTTACACCTGAGGGCTCAGAGGAGATCATTCTCCACAGGGCTGAGCCCCGAACAAAGGCGGTAATTTGCTTATAAAGTTAAAAGAAGCCCACTCATAAGGGCAGCGGCGTTTAAAGCTGATTGGATGTTTAGGGGTAGGTGACTTGGGGTCTTCGCTATGCACAGGTAGGGAAAGGAAGTGTGAGTGGGGAGCATGCAGCCTGGGCAGTTCACCATTATGACCTCTATGACTTCAAGGAGTTTTGTTTATTTTCTCCATTATTATGAGGGTCAGGGGTCTCCCACCCTCGTTCTCTTCCCCCTGGTTACTTCTCATGTCCGACACTTACTGGCTTCACGAATGTAGGTGCTGGTTTTCCACGGCTGATTGTCTCATTTCCATTGTATGAGGGGTGGTCTAAGGCCATACAGTTCCTTGTGGATCTTTTTTATTAAAGTTTTTTTTTAATGTTTATTATTTTTGAGATAGAAGGAGATAGAGAGCAAGAGGGGAGGGCCAGCAAGAGAGGGAGACACAGAGCTGGAAGGAGGCTCCAGTTCAGAGCTACCAGCACACAGCCCTATGCGGGACTCGAACTCACAGACTGGAGTTCATCCTGAGCGGAGTAAGCGACTGAGCCACTCAGGGCCTCCAGTTCCTTGTGGGTCTTATGTTTTAGGGTCTACTACTAATTTGTAGTTAGGTCATTAGTCAAAATCCTGAGGGGAACCTCAGGGGCAGGAGGCGGTGACTGTCACATTCTTAAGTGAAACCTTACACCTGAGGGGGTTTTGCTGGGATCAGACACTGTCCCCAATGTTCCAAAATGTGTTTTCTCCCCCACCCAGAGACCTCAGGTCCTAATCTGTCCTTTTCTGCCTACTGAATCCTATCGTTTTGTATCCTAATTCTAAGGCCCGGGGTTAGGCAGGAAGGCTTCCCATTAATTTATGAGCGTTGAGAGGTGCCGGGGTGGCTCAGTCATTTAACCGTCTGACTTCGTTCAGGTCATGATCTTAGCGTTTGTGGGTTTGAGCGCCCCTTTGGGCTCTGTGCTGCCAGCTGGGAGCCTGGAGCCCCCTTCAGAATCTGTGACGGCCTCTCAGCCCCTCCCCCAATCATGCTCTGTCTCTCAAAAAGTAAATAAAAATTAAAAACATTTTTAAAGAATTATGAGATCTGAGTACAGGCTTTCCTCAGGGAGAGGTAACAGGTCTCCAGTTAAGGAGTCGGGGAGAGTCAGGTCCAAGTGCACACGTTTTCTAGGCTCAAGCAGAATTTGTGGGCATCTGCGGGAAGGGAGGCTCCTTAAACCAGAGAAGGGAAACTCAGGGATTGGTTCCCAAGCAGGAGCTCACAGTTTGTGAACAGCTCCTGACGCAAAGGACTAGGAAGTTGGGCCTTTTCTGCATTTCAAAGTCCTGCTTACAGGACAGCAGTTTACTGGGGAAGAGCCTGTATTGGTGGCTTCACAGACATTTTCTCCTACTTCAGCTGGGATTTCCCCACAAAGATCTTCTGACAAGGAAATCTAGACCAGAAGGTGAAAGAAGAAATGGCTAGATCGCAGGTAAGCCTTGTGGCCCTGGCCGGAGGCCTTGTTGTTTTTTTCTCGGGAAATTCCATGGATCTAGGTATCACAAGGCACTTGAGTGACTTTAACCAGTTGAGCATCAGACTCTTGAGTTCAGGCCATGATCTCGGGGACCTGTGTTCCATCCTTGAGTCTGGTTTAAGATTCTCCCTCCCTTCCTCTGTCCCTCTTCCCTCAGTTTGCATTCTCTTCTCCCACCCTCTCATTCTCTCTTTCTCTCTCTGAAAGTGTGGTCGTGTCTCCTCACTGAGGAAAGAAAACACTGAGACAACCTGCCTGTATGAATACCTGACAACATCCCTCTTGACCTTGTAATAAGAGACACTTGGTGCAACTGCATGTTTGTGTGTTACCATATATGGGAGACAAAGAAGGAAAACATATATAAAAACTATGCCATGTGGTGTTCAGTGCTCAGTTCTTTGGGTACAAACCCAACTGAATTATGCCAACAGCAATGAATTTGTTTCCTGGAGGGAAAAGTCTGGGTGTGAGAATCCCACTACAACAGAAATTTCAAAAAAGAAGCCAATGAATTTTTTTAGTTCTGATGGTTCTGCTTTATGTTTTCACCTAATTTTTACCTTCTCAGAAATGACACTCAAGGTAGGTGATTAGAACCCTCCTCCCCTGTGTCCCAGCGACTCCTGTCCCTTCTCTCCAACCTGCCTTCCAGCAGGGTATCGACAGGTGTCACTTTGAAATAAATTCCTGCAAGTATTGAAAATAGTCCCTTTGTGAAAGATTCAGACGGGAGGGTGTTGAGTCCAAGGTTCTTGTTGCTGATGTGGTCTGGCCCTGGGGTTGCACTCAAGGAAAACCGTTCCCACTTAGTTCTGATCCCAATGCTTTCTCCACTCTGGGTAGAATAGGATTCTGAAAATGCAAAACACGCAGGATGGATAGGAGGCATAGAATAACCCGGAAAGTTCCTTTTCATTAGGATGTGTAAAAGCTACTTGAAAATATTGTAGATATTACAAGACATGGAAACTATATGTGATTGAAGGCTGAATAAATCCACTTTATCCTCAAAGTTGTTTGTATTCTGAATTGCTCTTTGGGGGTCACAAGAACACACTGGTGGTCCTGTGTCCTGGGATGTGCTTCAGGCACTGAGATCGCTTTGTTTCCCTACAGCTGACTTTACCTTCTTTTACTTGGCTTTGTACCCTTGCCAGATTTCTCCCCTGGAATGTTCATATTTTCCTTCTTAGCCGTTGAAATGTTTTTCAGGCAGATTCCCTGATCAATTTCCAGACATAACCATATTTAAAGTGGAAACTTCTTTCTCCCAGTTTCACTTTTCCTGTAGTTTTTTTCCCCAAATTTACTTATTTTGAGAGAGTCAGAGAGAGTGAGGGCAGTGGAGTTGCAGAGAGAGCACATGAATCCCCAGCAAGCTCCCCAGGGTCAGGGCAGAACCTGACACAGGGCTCAAACTCACAAAATCATGAGACCTTGACCTGAGCTGAAATCAAGAGTCAGACGCTTAACTGACTGAGCATCTACATGCCCCCTTTTCTGTTGTTTCTGGTGAGGAGAACAAAGGCCAA